TCCCTCTCCTGCTCTCGGCCTCCCCCCACACCCCCCTGCACCCGGGAGCCGCTCCAACTAGGCCCCCAGAGAAGGCAAGCACACCTCAGGGGCGCCCCTCTTCCCCACCAAGCCTTCCTTCTGCCCCTCTGTCAGGTTCCTGCTCCCAAAGCACCCCCTTTTCTTGCTCCGTTTCCCCATGCTCACAGCCCCCCCCCCAAGGTGCAGGGAGAGGGTGACATCAAGCCCACTTGCTAAATGGCCAAAGTGCTGTCAGTGGGCATGGGGCGGGCTCCTGAGCACCCAGGGGAACCCGAGCCGAAGGGAGCCGAGGGGCCACACCCAGTGCACGTACAGCAGCCCCCCAGCCCCCTTCCCCGGGCTGCCTCAGGCAGAGGACGGAGTGCGGAAGATCCAACACATGTTCTCAGCCAGGCCTCCTTGGGTTCAGATAGGCCAAGGGCCCAGGGCGGAGACCGAGGGCTGAGGACAAGACCTTGCCAGGCTGTGCGGACCCCAGGCTGTGACCCAGCCAGCCAGGACCTCTCTGAGGCCTGAGGGTGGGGGTGGTCAGAGGAAGCACCCCCACGTGAGGGCAGCCAGGATCGTGCAGGCAGGCGGGGGCTCGTCTCAGGTCTGGAGGCCTGCGTGGACCGCCACACGGCAGGCCCCAGGGGGTGGTGGAGGGAGAGCTGGGGGGCCCATCCAGCCTCAGGAAGAGCAGCCTCTTAAGGTTCTGCAGGGAGGTCAGGAGCGCCTTCACCCTCGGGGGCAATCTAGCCTGGGCCCCACGGCCCGCTGCGGGACGCTCGACCTGAGGGTCCGGGCTGTGTCTGGACAGACCCTGAGATGGAGAGGACCCCCTGGCTCCCCACCCCTCTCCCTCACCTGCCTTGTTTTTCTTCCCTTTTCCCGGGGTCAGGCCTGGCTGTCCCACAGGGCGTCCGCCACGGGGCTCTGCAGCCCAGGGCTCGCACGCTTCTGCCCCACACAGAAGTGGGGCGGTCAGTGGGGACCGGCCTGCAGACCAAGGGCCTGGGCAAGGGGTGCATCCTCCCCTCCCCCTCAGTCCCCATCCCTGCCCCCTCCCGTCAGACCACCTTCCTTCCTCCTTCCTCCTGCCCTGCCTGGCCCCTGAGGACTCTGTGCCTCTGGCTTACAATCCCTCCTTCGTCCCGCATTCCCCCTTCTGGCCACGTCCTGGTCCACGCGCCCTGAGCTCTCCTCCTGGGAGCCCACAGGGACCTTCTCCTGTTGCTGGCAGGATGGGAGCATGGCTGGTAGGCTCAGCTGGAGAGGGAGAAGCAGGTGGGCGTGCAGGCGGGAGCCCCCAGCCCCCAGGCGGGGGTGCCCCCAGGGGCCTGTGGGCAGGAGGGGACCACCCCACTCACCGGGTTTCTCTTCCCTCTCCCCATGCCGGCGCCGTGGTGGCCAGAGGAGAAGCCAAGACCCAGGTGAGTGTGGGGCCTGGGCAGGGCTGGACGCTGGCGGGGCTGGGGGACAAGGACCAAGGTCACCTGGGAAACTGGGGTCCCACAGAAGACAACGCATTTGGGCTCTGTGGGGGATGCACCCCCGAACCCCTGAGAGAAAGTGGCCGCATCTTTGCTCCTTGATTTGGTATTTAAAGCTCTAGGCGTCTGACGAAAGCCCCTGATGAAAATGGGATTATTTGGGGCGGCTGGTACCTTCCCCCACAGGTAGGGAGCAGAGTTCACCAGGGCGCTTCTTCCCAGCAAGGAGCAGAGATGAACTCTGGGGGCCCAGCGGGGTGTGGCTGTGCCCTACTGTCCAGTGTAGGCAAGGAGGACTCCCTGCAGGAGGAGGTGGGGGGCCCACGAAGAATGGGGGGTGGGGCTGGGGGAGATGGGACAGAGAGGGGGGCTGCCTGGTCCCCCGTGGCTGCCGGCCTGCCGTGGGGTACCCCCCAGGCCCTAGCCGAGAGGCGGCCCCGAGAGGTGGGTGGAGGGAGGGTCTCGCCCCCGTGGCCCCTTCAGAACAGAACCACCAGTGGACCCGCCATCTTTCACAGCCCTGGGGCCTCTGGGGCACCGTCGTCCTCATCTGGAGGGTCTTTCCCGCGTTTTACCCACTTGTGAGCATTTCAGAGATTTTGTTTTTTAACCGGACGATTCTGACTTTCCTGTGTTCAACGAGTACTTGTAAGCGCACAGTGCGTGACTCCCCACCCCGGTCCCGTTGAGTGTCCCTCCTGTGCCCGGCGCTGTCCGGCCGGACCTGCACCAGCGCGCCCGGGCTGTGCTCCCGCGTGGGACGCCCTCGGGGGTCCGCGGGCACTGCGGCGCGTCAGGGGTCCGGCCAGCACGCTCCCATCCCCTGCACTTTTATTTCTCAGCAATTTTAAATAACACTGCTGGGTCCCAGATATTTTCTAGTTTTAAAAAAATGTTTGTGTTTTCATTATGAAAATAAAACACCTCATTAAAGAAAATTTGGAAAATACGTAAAAGTCCAATGAAGAAAAAAAAACCGTCTATAACTCTCCCAGCCCGCCAGCCAGACTGCGGGAAGGCGCAGGGAGGAATAAAAGCCCTACTTCTTCCTCCTCTTTCCGTGCGTAGGGCTCGGAAAAAAAGATTTAAACTCTGAGCTGTTTTTCAAACATCGTACTGTCTATACAACCTTCAATTCTGCTTTTTTAAAATTTAGCACTATTCATAAGTATTTTTCCGTGTTTTTACATAGTCTTCTTAAATATTTTGAATGGCCACATAATATTCCATCAATTGGACAAACCATAATTTTTCTAACCGTTCCTCTTCTGCAGGACATTAAGGCCTTCCCCAATATTTTACTATCATAAATAATGCTGGGTGGAAAGCATTTTCTGTCTTTCGGGTTATTTCCCTAGGCCACATTCCCAGAACTGGAATTACTGGGTCAAAGAGTATGAACGTTCTTCAGGCTTTTGACGTCTGCTGCCAAATTGCTTTCCACGGGGGCCGTTCCAGTGCAGGCTCCGCCGTGGACGTGAGCGGGTCTGTGCCCCACGCCGCCGCTGCGCCCAGGGACACTGATGGATGAGGGGGGCCTCTCAGGGCCGCTCTGGTCCGCACGCCTCGGATGGCTCCAGGAGCGCCTTCCCGCGTGCTTGCTAACTGGCCGCCTTTCTTCCCGAGACTTGGCAGCGCGCGCCTCCTGCCCATTTATCTAACGGCAGAGACGTCTCCACGTGCTCTCAGCCATCGGTTTGCACAAGGATATAAGTCTTCTCTGTGCTTGCTGAAAATATTTTTCTAGTCTGGGCTGGGTTTTTTTTTCCCCTTTCAATTTTTGCTTTTTTTTTTTCACATACATAAGTTTTTCATTTGCGTGGAGTCGTCTGGCTATCTTTCCCCTAGTGGGACCTTCTGGTGCTTCTGAGCTTAGGAAAGCCTCTCCCGTTCCAGCACTTGGGTCCATATTCAGTTCCACGTTCTTCTGTGGCTTGTTTTGAAAAACCTTGTTGTTGTTTTAACTCTTTGCTCCATCTGGAATGCATGGGGGCCGGGCCCACGGCTGATGGCGGGTTATGGCCGGCCGGATCCGGGGGTCTCATTTCTTCCCCAAACTGTTTTCTGCTCAGGCCCCTTCCTTTGGGTCCCCAGAAAGAAAGATTCAGGAGGGGTCGGAGACCTGCAAAGGGTCAAGACAGCTGTTCCTGGCCACAGAGACCAACACCCCTCGGGGGCCTGCGGTGACCAGCCTGCCTCTGGCCTGGCCTAGCTGCATTTCTTCGTTTGAGAACAAAAGGGAGAGTGCCCTTCCTGGACAGATGGGGCTGAAATGGCCCTTTCGATGTCCAGATGTTGGCAAAACAGAGGGACATGAAGAGACTGAAACCTTCTCAAAGGGGTTCGGCCACCGTGGGGACAGTGGGTTATACATCTGACTAGAATAAAGGTCAGGCAGTGTGTCCTCAGCTGGGTGCCCAGGTGGGAGTGCAGGAGGGCCAGCACCCTGGTAGGGTCTCCACCTGCCCCTGCTCACGAGCCTCTCTCTTCTTCAGACTCACTGCTCCTAAGATCCCGGAAGGGGAGAAAGTAGACTTTGATGTAAGTTTATGGGACCCGGATCAACACGGCCTCCACCCTCCAACCCCTAGCCTTCAGGCTCCAGACCTGTGAAGGTCATCTGCTCTCAAGCAGCCAGAACTAGCACTTCCTGGTTGCAGGCAATTCTGCCTTAATTTATTTCTGGACCAGAGGAAACTCCCTCAGTGTGAGACATCTGTCTTCCCTTCTCTCCCACCCATGTATCCATCATCCATCCACCCACCCACTCATCCATCATCCATCCATCTACCCACCCACCCATCCACCCACCCACCCATCCATCCATCCACCCATCCATCCATCCATCCATCCATCATCCATCCATCTATCCATGTATCCATCCATCATCCATCCATCCATTTATCCATGTATCCATCTATCCATTATCCATACCCATCCATCCACCTATCCATCCATTCATCCATCATCCCTCCACCCATTATCCATGTGTCCATCCATCCATTATTCACACCCATCTGTTCACCCATCCATCCACCCATCCATCCATCCATCTATTTAACAAAGTACCTCACTCACCAGTTCCCTCTCTGTCTGGCCCATGCAGAACATCTCTGGGGATGACAACAGAGCCAAGCCAGAGCCAGTCCATCCCAGGGTTGCTGATGACCTCAGGGCTGTGCAGGGCCTAGACTCACCCATGGGGAGGGCACCATTCCTACACTGGAGCTAAGGGATCGGGCAGCCTCTGGCCCCCAGGAGGGCAGCAGCCATGGGGACATGGCAAGGGCGAAAGGTCCCTGGCCACCCTCAGAGTTTGCAGTGGCCAGAGGAGGCAGGGTGTCCCTGCCGGAACACAGGAAGGGACTGCCTGCCGCACGGTGGGCCAGGCAAGATGAGGTTCAAGAGAAGGGGCCTCCTGCACCCACAGGACATCCAGAAGAAGCGTCAGAACAAGGACCTCATGGAGCTCCAGGCGCTCATTGACAGCCACTTTGAAGCACGGAAGAAGGAGGAAGAGGAGCTGATTGCCCTCAAGGAGAGGATAGTGAGTTGGGGCAGTTGCGGGTGGGGGTGGAGGTACCAGGCGCTCTGGTGGGGGGGCGCTGGGGTTGGCAAGGCTGGGCTGAGCTGCTCCTCCGGCCGCAGGAGAAGCGCCGTGCGGAGAGAGCTGAGCAGCAGAGAATCCGCGCCGAGAAGGAGAAGGAGCGCCAGAACAGACTGGCGGTGAGGCTCATGTCCCCTCTCCTACCCCGGACCCCAAGCCAGTGACCAGAGCAGATTCCCTGTCCTCCTCCTGAGCATCCCCCTGACACCGGTCAGGGACCAGAGACCCTGGCTAAGTTCCCCATGTCCTGCAGACCCTGCAGAAAGTGCTAAGCCCAGGGTGGGTCCTGGAAGCCTGCCCGGGGCACGGGGGCTGCCCCGGCTCAGCACTGAGGGCCTTGGGGACGGGGTCTCCACAGGAAGAGAAAGCCCGGAGGGAGGAGGAGGATGCCAAGAGGAGAGCCGAGGACGACTTGAAGAAGAAGAAGGCCCTGTCCTCCATGGGCGCCAACTACAGCAGCTACCTGGCCAAGGTGAGCACGGGCCCTCGGAGCCATGACCTCCGACTGCACCCCCAGCCACCGCCACTGAGCTGTGCGGTGCTCCCCTCCTGAGGCCAGGGCCCTCTGCTTGTGCCCCACAGGCCGACCAGAAGAGAGGCAAGAAGCAGACCGCCCGGGAGATGAAGAAGAAGGTGCTAGCAGAGAGACGCAAGCCGCTCAACATCGACCACCTCGGCGAGGACAAGCTGAGGTAGGCAGGTGTCGCGGCCCAGGGGCAGCAGCTCTCGGAGGTTCCCGGGAGGCCGCTGGGCTGGCTCTCCATGGTGGCCGGAGGGGGACCGCAGGTGGCCTGGACCCTGCCTCCCAGGGCTTACCCAGCCAAGCTGCACCTTTGCCACCCTCCCAGGGACAAGGCCAAGGAGCTCTGGGACACCCTCTACCAACTGGAGACCGACAAGTTCGAGTTTGGGGAGAAGCTGAAGCGCCAGAAATATGATGTGAGTGCAGACACCTTGCAGCTCGGCCGCCCACCGGGAGCCGCCGCCTCCCCAAGTCCCCACAGCCACGGCCCTGAGAAGCCCATGTTGGCTGTCCCCATGGACCCTGACAGAGACTGTGGCTGGGGGCACCCTCTGAGCCCGCCTCCATGCCCCCAAGCAATCGGCCCTGCTCTGAGGGCCGCAAGGGAGAGCAGAGGGCTGAGCAGCCTCGGGGTCCAGTTCCCGAATTGCCTGGGGCTTGTGGAAAGCCCACCCTGGGTAGCAGTAGGTTTCTCGGGCACCGGGGTGGCCTCCCTCACAGCCTTCTCTGCAAAGCCAGGTCCCAGCCGTGCCCGCCAAAGACATTTGCTTCCTCAGAGTCCCTGGGGGTCCTGGGCTCGGTCCCCGAGCTGTCCCTTCCTCGGCCAGAGCAGGCAGAAGGGCGTCACGCATCCCCACTCGGCAGCTGGGAAAGGGGTCTGGGACTGGGTCATGTGGGGGGTGGCTGCCTAGAGTTGCCTGGGAGGGGCTCACAACTCAGAACAGCAGTCTTATGCAGATACTGTCCCCTCGGAGGCCCTTCGGGCCCTGGGGAGACGGTGCCATCCTGGTAACCAGCCTGCTCTGTGCAGACTCAGACACCTCCCGCTTCCCCATCAGAGGCACGGCCCCCACCCCTCAGCGTCCTCCAGGGTCCCTGGTGGAAGACAGTTCACACCTGAGGGGCATCTCCCGTGGCCGTCCCTACAGGCCACCAAGACAAAGGGTGTCCAGTGACTCCTGGCTCCTTCTCAAGAGCCGTGCCCTAGGGCAATTCGCCTGGTCCTTCTGTGCCTGTTTGCTCACCTCTACCAGGAGGAGGACCATCCAACCGGCCCTGGGGCTGCCCCCCACCCCCAGAGCACACACATCCCTGCAGCTCCGCAGTGTCCAGGCTCAGGGACAGCGCTGCCCTCTCCCGATGGTCCCCTGGGATTGGAGGGCTGGCTTGCAGAAGTGGGTCCATGGGGTTGAATCAGGGACCCACTGCTTCCTGACACACGTGTGCACGACCCATGGTGGGTCCCCGGGGGGCTGTAAGGGCCACGAGGGCCCAGGCCTGGGCTAGCCCAGCACACAGCAAGGCCCCGAAGCCTCAGCCACCCGCCCAGCCTGTTAACCATCTTGGTCTTTCTAGATCATGAATATGCGGGCCAGAGTGGAGATACTGGCCAAGTTGTAAGTAGGCAGAGTCCACCCTGGACCAGGCTCGTGGTGTGCAATGCACGGTGAGCCTCTCGCATGGCAAACCCGGCTCGTTGCGGATGGCGGCGGCGGGCACGGCCTCCGGCCTCCCCCTCCTCCCTAACACCTGCAGCCCGTGGCTACTGAGGCTGACCTGCTGTCCTTGCTGGCAGGTGGGGGAAGGGCCTTGCCTTCCCCTGAGCCTCTCTGCCCGGGCCGTCAGGAGGAGGGAGCCAGGGGACCGCAGGGCTGGTCACTCAGCAGCCACCAGACTCAGGGGCTCTGCCAACCTCGCCTCCCTCCCCATGCCCCCGCCCCGCATCCCGCCACAGGCTGCAGGTGAGTGGCCAGCTCCAGAGCTGCTGTGTGTCTTGGCCCGGGTCTCCAGCGCGGGCCACCAAAAGTAAGTCAGAGGCAAGAACCTCAAGGGCCGAGGACTGGTGTCTTCCACCCAGAGGAGCCAGGACACAGTAAGGGCGCGGCGGCCCAGGTGAGGCGGCGAGACTCCACCGAAGAAGGGCACGCCGGCCACAACCGGTCTGGCCCTGCCTGGACCTGCCAGGTAAGTCACTGTGTTGTTCGCAGATCACCAACCTCAGGAGCCGCATCGATCAGGCCCAGAAGCAGTGAGTAGCCCTCCTGCCCCGGGCTCTGTGGGGGGCACGTGGCCCCACGGGGCCGGCCGCCACTGCCCGACCCCGGGCCCAGCAATTTTGGCCAGTCCCAGTGGCAGCCGGCCCTCGGCAGAGCAGTAACAAGACTAACCAGTGGCCACTGGAGTCCGCATTTCTGGGCCCTGCACCCCTGGACCTGCAGCCTCCTCTTGCCCCCTCCTCACCTCAGAGCCTAGGAGGAGGCAGACTGCGGGGACATGGGCGGTCCCGGGCCAGCTCCCCGGCAGCCTGGCAGAGCCAGACGGGGCTCATGGACACCTCCACACTGAGCCGCCTCAGCAGTGAGCTGGCATGGGCTGTCAGAAGCCCGGGCTTTGTCCTGGGTCTCCCTGCAGCCCCGGGGGAGCCTCTGGTTCCTCGGAGCATGAACCCTCTGTCCGTAAGGTCACCCCGGGGCCTGGGGGACCCATGAGCACAGCGGCTGGGAAAGGCTCCACCTGCCCTGAGGTGTCCCTCCCAGCCCGGTCGCTGAGCCCGTCCCCACCCCACACGGTGCAGGGTCCCCAGGACTGCTCAGACGGGGGTTTCCCTCCTCCACTGGCCCCTGCCCCCTTACTGCTCCCAGGGCTAGGATCCTCCACCCTGGGGGACTAGTGAAGGTGACTCCCTCCTCCCTGGGCTCTGTTGTGTGCGGCTGATGCGGGCCTTGTGAGAGCCCTTCCATGTGTGTGCACGCGTGTGCATGCGTGTGTGCATGTGTGTAAGGGTACTCAGGCTGACCCCTGCAGGACACGGACCACGGGCACGACCACCGGGGCCAGGGCTTCTCCCGAAGCCAGCCTTGGGAACTGCAAGGCCTTCTCCAGCCAGAAGTCGTCCCAAAGGGTCGGCTTCTGGGGCCCACACACCCTGTTCCCCACCTATGGCATCCTGACCCAGCACCCAACTCCCTCCTGGCTCCCTGGTGTGCAGAGGGCGTCAGACAGACAGGGCAGGCTCCTAAGGATGGCCACCCTGCAGGGTGCTGACCTCCCCCCACTCCATGGTCCAGCTCTAACAGGGGACTGAAGGCCGGACGGAGGCCTCCCAGGCCCCAAGTCTACCAGGCCCGGTCCGCTGGCCAAGAGTCAGGGACCAAGGTAGCTGACTGTCCGGAGCCTCTCCTGCCCCAGGAGGCTGTGACCTGGGAGGCTCTTTCCAGGCCACAGTCACTGGGAGGATGATAGCCATCTGCAGAGACGGCTTCCCTGGCAGGCCTGGGGTCTACCCGAGGTGGGGCCCCTGGACCCAAGCTCCTGGCAGGGGTTAGGGAGTGTCCTGTGCTCGCTGGTCCCTCCCCTAACCACACTAACTGTCCCAGCACAAGGCGCCCAGGCCCAGCCGGGCCAGGTACAGGTGAGTCGCCGGTGCTTGGAATGTGTGCCCGGAGCTTTGAGGTCAGACTGGGCGTTTCGCTCTGATAGCGGCCTGGGTGGGCAGAGCTGTCAGGGCTGGGGGTCTGCCGGGCGCCGAGGAGGGGCTGGGCCGAGGGCCCAAACACCCAGCCGCTGAAGATCAACTTGCTTCCATTTGCAGTAGCAAGAAGGCCGGGGCCCCGGCCAAGGGCAAAGTCGGCGGGCGCTGGAAGTGAAGCAGCCAGAGGAGTTCCCAGAGGCAGAGACCCTCGGCCTGTGCAGCCTGTGCGGCAGCATCCGGCCCCCAGGCCTGGGGGCGCGGGGCCCACCCCCGAGCACCCCCCACGTCTCTGTCCTGGCTGCCCCCATCTCCCGGGGTCTGTGAATAAAGCTGGCAGACTCCCCTCCACCAAGTGTGCGCTGGCTCTTGGATGGGGGGCGCTGGAGGGCGCGTACTGGAGGAGGGGACTGAGTGGGTGGGCTAGGGAGGACAGAAACGCAGGTCGGGGGTCTGAGGGACACTGGGGACTCCCTTCAGGGGTCAGGGCATGTAGCCGGGCCTGCCAGTGTCTTCCACATCTGTCCCCTCCACCCTGCAAGCTCCTATGACCCTCAGTTCTCCACCTCAGCAGGGGTCTTTGCCCCCCGTGAGCAGTCCCCCATCGCCTGAGTCTGCTCTGAAGCCAATTTGGGGTAGAAGAGCTTTGCCTTTGGAGGGGTCTGGGGGGAGGGGAGCGGGAACACAGTGGGAGACCTTACAGGCGTCCCCCGGAAATGTGGGGGCAGAAGCAGGGTCCGGAACAAGGGGGCGCACATAGCCGGAGGGGCCTCTCGCCCCCAGAGGAAAGGAGCAGGAAAGCACGTGTCAAGAGAGCAGACTCAGCAAACACAGACCGTTCTTTCTATATTATAAGAGAACACAGTGCACAACTGTGTAATAAATTTGAAAATCCTGACCAAACAGAATTATGGAAAATATAAATCACAAAAATTGGATGAAGACGTAGAGCCTTGCACAGCGGAGTATTCATGGAGGAAGCTGAATTTCAGAGTCCGGAGCCGCCCCGCCGGGAAGGCTCTGCAGAGTGGAGGGAAAGAGCGAGCGTGCCCTGCGGTCCGCCATGGGGTGGTGTGACCCCAACAACAAGGGTGAACCCCCAGAGAGCACATGCACATGTGTGCCCGCCCCAACACACATATCCGTGCCCCACATGAACACACATCCCGCACGGGGCCACACGCCCAACAGACACTCACCAACTCACCAGCACACACATGCCCCCCACATTCGTGCACCCCCAGCTCCACATGCCACACCCGTATGCAGGTGCCCTAACGGCCACTGACCTTTACTGCAGTAATGTAAAGGGGACACCTTAACAGAACGGCGGGTGGGAGCCATGGAGCCCCCATCCCCCCTCCCCGCACCCTGGGGAGCTGGTCAGCACAGGGGCAGGAGGGCCAGCCCCCCACCCGCCCCCCGGAGTGGTGCAGATGCAGAGCGGCGTGAGCTCCCGAGTCACCCGCCAACCACAGGGAACACGAACAAGTCTGGGGTCTCAGTGGGAGGTTTTAAAGCACATCTCAGTTACTGCCGGGCCAGGAGGACCAGAGTGATGGGGGCGGATATGAACCAGTCAGGAGGGAGAGACGGGCCTTGGTGGAAGGCCGTTCCTGCAAACGGGGAGCACGTGTGACACCTTCTAGGAGTTGCCTCAGCCATAGACCAGCACCCAGCACATGGAGCCCGAGGCCAGCCCTCTGCAGCCAAGTCCCACCGGGGGCAGGTAACTCATTAGCATATGTTTAGAAATGTGAACACACCTGGGGGAGGCTGGGCTCTGCTGAGCGGCAGCAGGATGCTGGGGCTTGAAGGGGGCCCGATGGAAAACCCCGGGGAGGGACCCCCAAATGCTAATGTTAAGCATCTAATTCAAGAAATTGGAAAATAAGCCAGAAACCGAAACCCAGAGAAAGAGAAGCATGGGAATAATGAGGAAAGAGAAGATAATGGGAATTCCCAGTGAATGCACAAGCTCAAGGGTCAAACATCCTTTTTGCAAAAGGGCTGGTGACATGGTCCCGCATCAGCCTCATGGGCAAGCGGGAGGGAGAAGGCCCAGATGAGGAGGAATAGGGTGAGGAGCCGAACGAGAGGACAGCTGTAGCCGAAGCAGAACTACTGGGACAAGCGCATCAGAAACCGCTTCGTGACGGTATTCTTGAAAACTGCGTAAAATGGCCAATCTCCACGGGAAACGGGACTTACTGCGTTGACTCAAGGTGAAGAGCAAAACGTGAATAGACTGATGTTGTTTTAAAAACGTTGAGCCACCAAGAGTACGAAGAATTGTTTTAAACAACATCCTTCTCTCTAATGCGGTGGTTCTTGAGTCATTAACGGAGCAGAGGCTTGGGGGGAACTCAGTGGAAACAGAACACAGGTTGTGAAGAAAATTCTCAGCCAATTAAGAATAGAAGACAGTTTCTTCAACCCAAGGAAGGCGACTTCCAAACACCTACAGCAAGCGCCACCCTCCTCAGGGAAAAGCTGCAAGAGTTAGGCAGGAAGGTGCCCTCCTCGGCTTCCTCCTCCCCGGCCAGGTGCCTGGGCCAGAGCTTTGGGTCAAGAAAAAGAAACTTCCCAAAAAACAAAAGAGAAGACAGGAGGGGTGCCTGGGTAGCCCAGTAGGTTAGGCATCTGACTCTTGATTTCGGCTCAGGTCATGATCTCAGGGTCGTGGGATCAGGCCCCATGTCGGGCTCCACGCTCAGCGCTGAGTCTGCTTGAGATTCTCTCTCTCCCTCTGCCCCTCCGCCTCCCTCTCATGTCCTCTCTCTCTCTCTGTCAAATAAATAAATGAAATCTTTAAAAAAAAAAAAAAAAGAGGATAGGAGGGCAAGGAAAAAAGTATTTTGTCTTACCTACTTGTGCCTTAAAAAATTGCCACTATTCCCAACCAAATAATTATCTACAAAAAATAGAAAATCTGCAATTCTGAATTATTAGAATTAAGAGTTCCGTGTGGGTACACGAGGGCATAAGACAGAAAGATCGAGAGTTAGGGGACAGTGCTTAAAAATATCATTTACAACAGAAATGTTAAAACATAATGATAATAAGGATAAATCTAGCAAAACATGTGCAAGACAACCAGAGAGATAATAAAATCACTTTATTGAAAATATCTAAAAAGCACCAATACCTGGAGATTGTTATATGTTCCCTAAGAGAAAGCAGTAATAGCTTAAAAGTGTTCATTCTCCCTAATTAATCTATGAATTCAGGGCAACTTAACCATGTTCCCACAAGGACGTATGTAAATTCATGCTGATTCTAACATGCATGGGGAAGGAAAGGGGGCTGTGGACAGCCCAGACCATGTGAGGGGAGGTGCCGGCTCCCAGAAAGACACGGACATGGACACGGACACGGAAGACAGGCCCACGTGCAGGGCCACGGGCACACCTGCTCTGTCAGGGGGGTATCGCGGAGGCAGATGGACCAACACTGAGAATAAATAAAACAGGGTACCACCTCCTCACACCAGCCACCAAAAATCAGCCCCCCCACTCCCACCCCCTGTTTGAAGAACTATATCTGAGAAGGAAAACATTACAACTTTTAGGAAGCAGCTATAGGAGAGCATCGGAAAGCTGTTGGAAAAGAGGAATTTCTTAAACCAGGTGTAAAACCTCCCAACCATAAAACAAGAGTTTGATAAATTCCACAGGCATAAAGAAAGTTTTAAGAACATGAATCTCTCCGGGTTAGAAAACAGGGTCCAAGCGAGCGAGCTCCAAAGGCCTCGTTGGCTTCACGCGGGGGCTCTGGACTCAGGCAGCGCCGTGGAGCCGGCAGGAAGGGGCCCCGGGGAACAAGGCACGAGGTCGCACAGGGAGAGGGGTGTGGGCGGGCAGGGCGGCCTCAGCTGCCTGGGGGGACGCGGGGCTCTGTCAGCTGCCACCTCATCCCTGCACTGGGCCACTACTAAGTCTCAGTTTGGTGGCGTGGGCTCTGGACAAGGGACTGCATCTGGGGCCTGCCGTCTCTTCCCACATCTGCGCAAAAGATGCCGTGAGCCCAGTGGACCACAGGCCATGTGTTAGGAGCGGGTATTTGTGGCACATCCCTGACGCAGGTCCGTGTTGGGTGTACGTAAGGAACTTCAGGGCACCATGAGGAGAAAGACAAGCCGCTGAAGAGAAAAATGAGCAAAGGGGGTACGGAGTTCACAGAGAGGAGCCCGGGATGGTCAGCGAATGTACCGGAGGTGGGAAGCAGGAGACCACCTCACGCTGCCACGAAATGCCAGTCCACGCACACGAGGGGGGCAAAGGACAGATGTTGGTTAGGGGAAGGGGGGCTCGTGTTTCCAGGAGCACACCGGCTGCTGCAAGCAGGTGACAAAGGACAGGCTGGGAAAAGCTCCGCTTTGCAGCCACAAGAGGGACAGCTGAGGGAGGCGAGGGTCAGCACTGGCTGGGGCAACGACTGCACGGTGCGGACGGTGCGCCCAGTCCAGTCCCTGGGCAGTGGACGCAGCACCCCGCCCATTACTTGTCAAGCGCAAAGTACCTTGAAAATGGGGAAGCAAGCAGGTGGCAGCACCCTAGGCAAGTGGTAACCCCCGGCAAGGGGTCGCACCGAGGACACGCCACCTGAGCCATGTTCTAGCCCGAAAGTTCAATCTGATTCGAATCGTGAAGAAACCGCCCAACAAATCCAGCTGTGGGACCCCCTTCTAGACAACTGGCCCAGACTCTTCAAAACTGTCCCTGACCTAAAAGCCCCCGCGCCCCAGAAAGAAAATTAAAAAAGAAGGAAGGGTATCGATAATTAAATACAACGCATCAGCCTTGGTCGCGTACCACATCCAAAGCCCACAGTGACGGCAGAGGACATTTTGCGACCCTTGCGTCGGCGGTGTGGTGGCGGAAACATGGCTGTGGAGGAGGAGGTCCTTGCTCTGAGACTTGCCTGCGAGCCTCCCTCAGGGCTCAGGGAGGGAGGGAGGTGGGGAGCAGGTTCGGCAGAACGGGTCTGACCGCAGCCAGCACGGCACGGCGCTCGGGAGGGGGTGCGTGGAGGCGACTCGCCACATCTGGTCAGCTCGAGGAGGTTGTCAGTCCCTCTCTGGGCACTGGTCGCTGTGGGCAGTTACAGAAAGTTCGAGCCCCCATCCAGAGCACGGTAGCTAGGTAAAGCATGGTATAGTCACAGATGGACTGCACAAGGTTAAAAGAAAGGACCTACAGCTAAATGCAACCACTGGCAACGTTTTGAGAATACAACACGAGCAAGTTGCACAAGGAAAAGATTGCTTACATAACATTTTTTAAAGTATGAAAACAAATTATCCATGCCTCGATGTGAGGAACACACGTTGCAGATGAAGAGTCCCTTCC